AATCACAACTAATCCAACATAAGGTATTCCATGACTTGTGTGAGACAAAACAAATCAGATTTTTCAAGGAGGTGGCGGGTCATTACTCTGAGAGTAACGACCAGATCGCTGAAAATCAATAGGATTCTGCGTCGCATTTCCTTAAACATGGTGTATGAATTTCAATCGGATGTTAACTGTATGCCAATGTCCTTATACAGGCAATTGTTGATGCACGGACGAACTGACAGAAGAAAGACGGGCAAAAGGGTTTTTACGCCCACTCGACACAAAGTAAGGTCATTTTTAAATAATTCGCTTGCGCGTATTGGTCTTTAGCAGTGTAGGAACAGGGGGACCAGGAAAAACTCCACGATGTTGGACGGACTGACGGATAGCGCTGACGACAATATACGACCAAATTTCGATATCCACCCGTGTATCTAAAAGAGCCTTTCGTAATTATTCTATTCATGCAAAGTAATATGTTTTTGTCCAATTTTATTGATGCGAACACTTAGCAAGTCAGTGGGCGCACGCAGGCGTATGTGATGTTAACGCCCAAAACTGGTTTATAATCGTTCGATTTGTTTTGTGCGCGAAATTAATTCTTTAACCGCCTTTAACTATAAATTATTTTTCTTTACGGGCAAGGTAAAGTGGCACCATCTTGTTGCAACACATACAAAAGTCCAAAATGAACTATTACTCACAAACCACTATTTCACTGGGGCTACCCCTTTAATTCGTATAGCCGTGTGTTATTATGTGAACGAAAATTACAATTTCATCACTTTCTAGCCCAGTGGCGGTTACACCTACAAATGAAATGAAATGAAATGAAATGGGGTTTAACGTCCTACTGTTCTGCTCCTATACTGGGCTAATGAAGACGGGCATACGCCATACAGTGTGCTATGAGGGAAATTTTGCCCGGGCAGCGGCACTATCGCCTACTCTTATATCGAATTCCAACTGCCAAGGGGTCTTTTACGTGCATTCCAATGTATACACGGAACCTCGGTTTTTCGTCTCATCCGAAGGACTAGACAGCTGCCCTTGTCAGGCCCTCCGTCCTGCATCACTGACAAGGGGGAACCATGCCGGAAAATCTGGATGAACTTTCTCGGCCAATGCAGGGATCGAACACCCGACCTCCAGGCTAGCGAGCCAGCGTCTTACCCACTTAGCCACGTGATCCCCTAGGTTACACCTACAAATAAAAGGATAAAAGTTGGGTACAGCTATCACCTCTCAATTGATACTCTGATCTATGTAGTACAGTACTCAAGATTCTTTCATGTTTTCATGTAGTGTGAAATTTCAGCGTTCTGGCTACCAAAAAGTTGGGGTCCGCCATTTTTTTTTTCAATCTTGAAAATGTTCCATCATATTTTCAGACGAGCGATGCGTATAATCGTTAAACTGACAACGTTCACCAGAACATAAAATCGATACGTAAGGCTATATTTACATCAACATACATACAATTATGTCGTATTTTGTTTAATAATGTGTGTGCGTGTGTGGGGGGGGGGGTGGCGGAATGGTTTGCACGTGCGTGCTGTATCATAAGGCCTGTCATTGAGTCAACTGGCGTGGTGGCGAATCCCCGGCTGTTCGTGACAAGGAGTAGGGTCGCCTGTTCAACCTCTTTGGTTTTCTCCGGGTTCCTCCCACTTCTAAAGACCCCTACGCGTAAGCGAATTATTGAAATAAAATAAAACCATATGTTAGTCCCGAAATGACCTAGTTTGTGTCGAGTGGACCTTAAATTCCACCTCTCTCTCTCCCCATAAACAAAGTGTTATTTCAAAACATAAATTTATTTTTAAATATTTGATTTAAACTAGGGAATAAGATTAATCCATATCAGAATGTTTTGGGAACATTTAGGGCTGTAAACGTGTAACAAACTCTGCAATTAAACGGCAAAAAACGAAATTGACAGAAAATTATTCAAGCATTTACTTAGGTCGTCAATATGTATGGTAAATGCACACGAGGTAATGAAAATACATTCTGAATAATAAACCTTCCCTCAATCAAGATACGTGACAAACAGGGCTTCTAGATATAAATTTTTTATAGCTTGGGGTATGTCCATGCGAATACAAAGTTTAGAGAGGGATTTCCAGCATTTTTTGATTAATTAGTTTGAATATGTTTTTAGTCCAAATATAAAATCAATCACCCAGTTTGTCCTTGGGAAGGTATCTTTTTACAGAATCGATCATGCACTTATTGAATATAAGCTGCACTACCGGTGAAGCGTTACAACAACACAGACGGGTAGATAAAGAGGCGGGATATATACTTATACTATCATAATTATCGATAAATCGATATATTGTAACATTGTAGACCATTGATCGTCATTTGCAAAAGAACTGCCATTTCTGTTAATATTATTCATATGGGGCGTTCTAAAAAAACCGAACTAAAACAGAACTGTAAAAATCGAAGCTATCAAGGCTTCCATTGTCAATGAATGTTACAAAAAGGCTTGTTTTTTGATAGATTATTTTTCATATATGTTAGAGAGAGAGAGAAATGACAGACTTTATGATACAGCGCGCGCACTCTAACCATTCAGCCATCTACCCCCCCCCCCCGTTAGAATATTGTAGGGTGTGATATAGAATATGTAACCTAAATATAATTTATTTGGGACAAATTCGTTTGTATGTAGTACCATTTGCAACACGTCGTATTTTCCAATCAATCATTCAGTTAGACGTTTCCACATTCAGTAGTGAACTATTAGTGTACAATCTAACATAAATTGAACACTGTGTTGTGTGTAAATAAATATTGAATAAGATTTATTGCAAAATGTTTTACTGTTAGTTTAATTCTCAGATATCTTTATTCATTCAGAGTGAGAGAGAGAGAGAGAGTAATGGGGTTTAACGTCCACTCGACACAAACTAGGTCATTTCGGGACTAACATATGGTTTAATTTTATTTCAATTTCGCTTGCGCGTAGGGGTCTTTAGTAGTGGGAGGAAACCGGAGGACCCGGAGAAAACCCACGAGATTGGAAAGGCGACCCTACTCCTTGTCACCTACAACCGGGGATTCGAAACCACACCAGTTGACTCAATGACAGGCTTTATGATACAACACGGACGTGCTAACCATTCGGCCATCCACCCCCCCCCCCCTTATTCATTCAGACACAAAGTTTTGAAGGGTGAAGATTAACGATGTGTATTCAATGCAAAAACAGCTCAACACAAAAGCAGTTCCAATGCAGTCTTAATGCTGTATTACTATTTTCCATATAGACCCTAAATATTTAATCCAGATGATGTTTGTGATGGTACTCCATACAGAAATCTGAAAGTAGTCCCTTGAAAATAAAGGATAAGAAAAAAAAATGTTTGATTATATTATATGGAATTGGTGTGCTAAACAAAGATAGCTTTTAAAATTTGAATTCTTGTTGGTTGTTGTCTATATATTCAGGCTTTACGTCACTTAAACCAAGGCCAGAAATAACCTATTTATGCAATACGCCCAGTCAGCCGAAATTATAGAAAACCTCAATATACAATTAATAGAGAGAGAGAAATGAGGTTTAACATCCACTCGACACAAACTAGGTCATTTCGGGACTAACATATGGTTTAATTTTATTTCAATAATTCGCTTGCGCGTAGGCGTCTTTAGCAGTGGGAGGAAACCGGAGGACCCGGAGAAACCCCACGAGGTTGGAATACAATTAATAACATGATTTATTACAGTGTATAACAACAATCACAGCATGGTAACACAAGAGAATCATACAAAAACATACTCTAACGCGAATTACTTATTATATTCATGATAGAAGGACCTGCGATGATGTAGGACGCCTTACCGACATTCACGAACAAATCTCCACTATGCCGCTAGTTGCCTAAACCCCGGAATCACGTGGGTACCGGTACGCTCAGGTCTTGATTAACAAGTCTCTAAATTCTGCAACGATGCTATCAGACGATTCACGACACGACTTGAGTAACAACATTGAACTTATTATTCATTATAATCACAGAGACAATAATTACAAACATTTAACAAAATCATGTACTACATGACAAGGCATCTCTGTGAGATCTTGTGATTTCCCATGTTGTGTTGTTTACCATGTAACGCGTCAGTGCTGAATGGTATATTTGCTTCACATTTTCCTAAGTTAAAAATTCCGAAGGTATTTCTTTGATTTATATTCATTTTTTAGTGTTCATTATCGTCTCAAGCACATTTTGATACCAAAATACAGGCACGAAAGCTGTTGTGAATGTCTTCAAGTTTTTTGACTTTACCCTGTTCTTAAAGCGAAAAGAGGATATCGAGAACGCTTTGTACATGGATTTGGATTTCCGTTTGAGTGGGGCCATTGTAAGAAGCTTATCTCGTAGGTTAACAGCTTGTTGAAAATCCTTTTTCATTTCATTATATATAGCTACTTACTCATATTCAATTTCTTGTATCGTATTGTATTGTATATTGCATTGTATATTGTATGGTATTGTGTATTGTATACTGTATTGTATATTGTATTGTATTGTAAAATATGTAAAATGTTCTTTCGATAAAAAGTTTTTATTAAATAAATCTATTTATTTTGAGAGTTTTTATTTGCCTGGAGGGTAAGCTTCTTACTGTAGTCTCTATCGCGTTCACAACCGATTATTGATGGTGGAAATATGATACGATGTTCTCGCCTTAATAGTTATAAAAAATATATAATGAAAAAGGGTTATGTTAAAAATTTGAATCAAATTACTTCAGTGATTTTATTGAAGCCAGAATAACGGTCAAATATCATTTAATTGTGTTGTTTTAGCCGCAGGCACTTGAAGGGATTAAAATAAAACTTCTTACTACTGTTTGACTAGTATTACTAATAACACAAATTGTATCACCCGACATATTGTTTTGAATCGTTGAAGATATTTCATCTGCGTACTGAGTAACCAGACTAGTACAGAAAGGTAGCACGTGAAATCCCGTTGCATTGGGTTCTGAAAAGGAAGCTTAAACCAAAAACTATGTTTATATATCAAATACAGGAAACTTAGAACATCTATGATAGTACAATAGGAATTACGAGTTTTATGGCTCACAGAAAATATATATTATGCCTTGCAATTCGCAGGCGGCGGGATCAAGACTGTAGTGTCATACTTATTCCACCCGTAACCACATTTTAACTAAAGCCGGGACAACATCCTGTAAATCGTAGGTCCAGAATGCTTCATAGTCGGTTGTTTTTAACGAATCACTCGGCATCAATAATTCTCCATTAGGATTGCAAGGTGAGCAGTCATTATACCACCACCCACTTCTCATGTCTAGCGCACAGTTTCTGCTGCTGTTGTCGTTGTCGTTATCGTAAGTGCTAAAATATTGATTCTTTACCGCCGTTAAACTATCGCCCAACGACAAAGTACTGTGAGGAACCGCACGGGCAAAGGTCATTTGATAGTTATTGGTTTCATTCATCACTACGAATTCTCTAAAATAATGGTGATAATAGGTTAAATTGGCAAGTCTCATGTAGAATGCCCCAGTATAAACCCTACTATTGGTCAGGTAGTAGAGCTTGTCCAATCCCAACCAATGATCACTGGTCAGAGAACCAAAACCATCTTTGTATTCCTGCCATGTTCGGTTGAAGTAGAAGGACGATGTTTCGTGGTGCTGAAACCGAATTCGACCCCCGTTACCTCTCATCTTACAGTACACTTGAAATGGTGTTGGTGATAGTACCGGATGTATCGTGTAGATGCCAAAAGTGGTGTACCCATGTGGTGAAGAAAATCCTTCCGCACAATCTGTAACAGAGAGTATCTTTTAAGGTCAGAGTACAGTTTAAGATCATATATGAAAACTTAATTACTGCACGATTCATTGCGAGAATGATCACGGCAAACTTAAGGACGATCACTGCGCATTTTCACTGTACATATTGGGAACACTGCAATGCATATTGGATACATTGCATCTAGGTTCCGACCTCTTTGCCATATAACTCTTTTTTACTCAAGTTTCGTAAATATGCTGTTACGACTAGCTAGTTTTACATTTGTTGCACTGACATATATTATGTTCCAATATGCCGTACGCGGTCACAAATCCCCACACCAACAAATAATATCAAATTTATAATGTCACTTAAATATTTTGTGGTCTGCATCCAAACGTTAATTAAATGGTACATTCGAATCCAGTCAGCGTGTAAAATGTTGTAGATAATGTGGATGGTTGATTTACCCAATGCAGCCCAATACTACACTATGCTATCATATACTACCAACTACCTCCGATTATTGTGAAAAACTGACAGAATAGTTGATCTTTATACGGAAAAAAATCCAACGAGAGTGAATAACCATCACATGTAAGATTTCCACGAGCAATAATTGAAATATTCTGTAAGTTTTTCCTTATAATGAGGTTGTATAATTGGGTTAACATTGGGTGGTATTGGCGATATTAATTAGTATTGGGTGGTATTGGGTAGTATTGTGTTAATATTGGGTGATATAGGGTTAATATTGGGAGGTATTGGTTAGTATTGAATTTGTATTGGATAATGCAGGGTAGTATTGTTTGATATTAGGTAACTATTGGTTACTATTGGGGTAGTATTGCGTGGTATTGGGTTTCGATTCGGTGGTATTGAGTAGCATTGTTTGGTATGGTGTTACTATTGGGTAGTATCGGGTTACATTTGGGTGGTTTTAGGTTAGTATTGGGTAGTACTTGGTTACTATTGGGTAGTACTGGGTTACTATTGGGTGTTACTGGGTTAGTATTGAGTGGTATTTTGTTAGTATTGAGTAGTATGGTGTTAGAATTGGGTTAGTATTGGGTAGTACTGGGTTACTATTGGATGTTATTGGGTTAGTATAGGGTATTATGGTGTTAGTAGTGGGTAGTACTGGGTTACTATTGGGTGTTATTGGGTTAGTATTGGGTTAGTATTGAGTTAGTATTGGGTGTTATTGAGTTATTATTGGGTAAATCGACCTGTCCCAGTAATACGCATTCGTGTTTTGTTACGCGTGGTAAGACAGTTGAAATATAAATTCTCTTCACAAAATACGTAAGATAAAATACAAACCTCGCAGGAATCTTTCACAATACGTTCCAGCATAACTGTTAATACACAAACAAAACGAAGTAACCACAGAGCCACCGTTTTGGCACGCCTGAAATTGAAAGAGACACAACAATCTTTTGGGGCGACAAATGAGGTTTAACGCCCACTCGACACAAAATATGTGATTTCAAGACTAAGATATGACGACTAAAGGGGAAAAGGCCAATTGTCATAAAACTCAATTTATTCATTTGTTGGGGTTTTTTTGGGGAGAGAGAGAGAGAGAAATGGGGTTTAACGTCCACTCGACACAAACTAGGTCATTTCAGGACTAACATTTGTTTGAATTTTATTTCAATAATTCGCTTGCGCGTAGGGTTCTTCAGCAGTGGGAGGAAACCGGAGGACCCGGAGAAAACCCACGAGGTTGGACAGGCGACCCTACTCCTTGTCATGTACAACCGGGAATTCGAAACCACGCCAGCTGACTCAATGACAGGCTTTATGATACACCGCGCACGTGCTAACCATTCGGCCATCCAACCCCCCCCCCCTTTTTTAGGGGCGGGGGGTATAGAGCCGCTGTCTGGTCAAGGTTTCTCTCATATATCGCGTTCCGTTACTTGCCCCGGGCTCTCTCGACCAGGATTTTCGAGTACGTTTGGATATGCGCAGTGGGAACAGTTAATCGAACGGCATGGCGTTTTGTTTAGGTATTGTGTCGCATCGCATAATGCGCTATAAATTTAGCCAAATGGAAGATAAACCCTGCAAAAGAATCATGCTCGGTGTTCGATAAATATCCATCAACAAACTTCAAGAAAAACAAATGATCTTATTTAAAATTAATGGCACTTGTCCATCTTATTGCACTAACATCCTCAATTGTGCATGACGGACTTCGATATTTGATCTGACGCCAAAATTCCAAGATGGCTGCTCTAACGTCATGGTTCACACCGTACGCTTTTACTTATTTTCTTTATATATGCTTTTAAAGGGGTTTATGCGCTTTAGAGATCGATATGTTATCGACTCAGAGTTTGATTGTTGTTTCCGGGACATGTTGTTATTTTAGAAATCTCTGGTCAAGGTCTATGAAACAATTGATCGAATGTTAATAAATCGAAGATAATTTGGATCATTTTTAAAACTAATAACAATAACTCTACTATTGATTGCCGAAATCAATATTTGATCAACTAGCCATTGCGAAATGCAATTCAGAGGAACCGGGCCAAAACTAATAACCACAAAATTGAATATCAGAATTAATATTTTAAGAACTCGCCATTCTGAAATACAATGTGGCGATTCCCCCCTTCAGCCACCGGACTATATCTTTGTAAATAGTGAAGAAAATGGAAGGGATATTATCAATAGGCGACTTTCAGCAAGGACAGAACTAGAATAAAACAAATAACTCTAGATGAAACAATTTAGCTTACTGCTATATTTTATAAAACCTGTATGCGAATATTAAAGATACATCATGTAAGATTTAGATATCACTTCGATGGAAGCGAGCGTTAGACACAGATATTGCACACACGCATTTTTAAATGACGCTGGTGCACTAATCACGACCACCCGGTGGTCTAGAGAGTTGATTATAGGCTTGAATAAATATCCAAATAATAACTATAACATTTGAAGACCAAATGAAAACGGGTTAGGCAGATTTAGCGCTTATATAATGCAATTTGGATATGACCCCAATTGACAATAAATATCTCGAAAACGCCCCCCTCAAACGTCTGATCACCACACAGATTCGGAATCTACGCACAAAACTGGTCTAGAAAAACATGGTCTCAAACATTCACAGTTCGGGTGGCCCCTCAGCCACTGTAATAATATGATAAATCAACAAATTGCGACATCCGGGATACCTGCTGTGTAAGTGTTCGGTACAACTTGATTAAAATACAGATTTATATTTCGTTTCGTTTTCTTTTATACTTTCGATGGCCTCTACTGCATGAAGATTTGACCGGTTGTAGTAGCGGACGCACCAGGGGTCATTTGATTAACCAATCAACGTTGATGTTTCTAGTAGGATACTCACAGTTCCGTGCACCGCACGTCAAGAAGGGATGGTATTTAAGAACCCTTTCAGATCCTAGTGTAGTAAAGGCAAGTCAAACGAAATGTTGAACAATAAAAAACGAAATGAAATAGGATCTGTGTTTTAATCAGATTGGCTTTCGCTAGGACTCGTTTTTACGGTGGTTGAATCTAAGCCGAGGGATTATCTACCGTTAATATTTGGATTTTGGTTAAAAATTAAATATTCCACAATCAGCTTTAAGTCGATTTCAGCGTGGACAAAGCCGCAAAAAAATAGACATTGTCCACAAAATTCACATTTTGATCTCGAAAGTCTTTGATCAGTTCTGTTGTTGCTGAAACTCGCCTTTTATTGTTCTCTGTCTGTTAGAACGGGGTGCGGAATTTATTAATTTAAATCGTCATTTTCAAAAAGTTAATATTTGGGTTTATGATATATATAGTAATAGGCTAGGTTTTTATATTCGATTTCTGCTGTTTAATAATAATATGTTGATTTGGTTTTCTAAATTAAAGGGTCAATTACCAATCTTGGCAGATTTCATCATGGATAATGCCGCGAAAAAATAGATATTGTCCACAAAATTCACGATCGGTTACAGATCGATATGTGAAAATATACTCTTCCAAAAAAGTAGAGGATATTCAGAAACAATACAAAACTGCGGAAATGCAGTGTATGTTAATAACAAGCCAATTGCCCACACATGCACATAAACGTTTCATATCGTTTATCTGACGGCCCCATTTCACCCGCAAAAGTGAAAATGGACGTTTTTGATTTTTGTCGTAATAATGAGTAATTCCTCCACCAATTCCTCAGCAATTCGTCGTGGCATGCTCCTAATCAACCGTCCAGTCACGGTTTGAGGCTATCTGACCAACTCCTCTTGGGGACCACGTGGCTAAGTGGGTAAGACGCTGGCTCGCTAGCCTGGAGGTCGGGTGTTCGATCCCTGCATTGGCCGAGAAAGTTCATCCAGATTTTCCGGCGTGGTTTCCCCTTGTCAGTGATGCAGGACGGAGGGCCTGACAAGGACAGCTGTCTAGTCGTTCGGATGGTACGAAAAACCGAGGTCCCGTGTACACATTGGCGTGCACGTAAAAGATCCCTTGGCAGTTGGAATTCGATATAAGAGTAGGCCGTAGCGCCGCTGCCCGGGCAAAATTTCCCTCATAGCACACTGTATGGCGTATGCCCGTCTTCATTAGCCCAGCTTAGGAGCAGAACAGTAGGACGTTAAACCCCATTTCATTTCATTTCATTTCGGTGCCACGGCCAATTCTTGCACTGTTGTCGGCTGACGTTGGCGTCGACGAACACGTCTCCCGATCATGTCACAGATATGCTCTATAGTGGAAAGGTCAGGATTAAGGCATATGGACAATATGGTGACGCTGGAGGTAGTTATTCACGACACGAGCGCGGTGGGCACGGGCATTATCATCTTGATGTCCTCGTTCAGGTCGTCCTAGAACAATATGCAAGTCCGTTCAGCCAGTCATGGTGATTCCTCCCCACACCATAACAGACCCACGCCCGAATCTATCATGCTGTCTTACGTTAACGTTAGCATGACGCTCATTTACACGCCTCCAAATGCGAGCACGCCCATCTCAGAACATTACACGCACCCATCGACGATTACCCCAATATCTACGCTGAATACACCATTGACGCCTGTTTGCCATGTGCTGGCGAGTTAATGGAGGCAAAACACGCGGTCGTCGCGCATGCAAATGTGCTGCATGTAGCCGATTTCTAATCTTTTGGGGAGTACCTCGAATTCCTGTAACTTGGTACAAGTTTACAGAAAGCTGATTGGCCGTTTGTCCTCGATTTCGCAGGACCTGTGTACGAATGTATCGATCCTGGGCTTGTGTAGTGGCTCGAGGACGACCTGAACGAGGACTATCATTAACACTGTGTTTTTGTTGGTACCGGTTGCACAGGCTGCTGATCACAGACTGTGACACATTGGCTATTGCTTGCTGTGTAGAACCCATTTGAAGCATGCCAATAGAACCTAGGCGTTCATGATGTTGAAGACGTCTCATTGCAAATTAAAGGTAACACACTAAAGCAAAGATACGCTAAACAGTAAATCTTATGCAAGAACAGATAGGAAAGCAAACATGGATATGATAAACCAGCACGCGGCAGTTTTCATCAACCCTTCCTTGAAGTGTCATATTTGATAATGAACCCCTCCGACGTGTATTGCGCTATTGCGTGTCGCAGATGCAGCTCAGCTCAGTGGTTCTGTTGAGGCGATAAGTTCTTCATCTGTGAACATACTCTCAAAGTATGTCAAGTGTCCGCGGCTATTTATCATAAGTATCACAACCTGCATAGGTATTTGCATTTCAATATCCCCTACTTTTTGTTGTAGAATATAGTTTGTTATATCGACTCACCTTTTGGTAATATTTGAATGAGGAGCTATCCACCATTTTACCACAATTGCTTCCACCCATTTCATCATTCAACTGACATTGGTTTTCACCGTACTGGAAAGACTGACATCTGTAGTCCTGATCACAAAATGAAGCACATCTTAATTTACTCCTTGATGTCAACGTTTTGTAGGTATACTGAGGTTCCATAACCTTTCCAGGACAGTTAGAAGAAGTTGTAAATTTGTCACATTTGACTTGCAAGATTATGTTCATTAAGATAAATAAACCTGATATCACAGCTTTCGGCATTTTGAATAATATTCAGCATGCTAGTGTGCTCTGAAAGCAAATACATGTAAAAGAATGTGTAACATTTTCGCTCTGAACTTCGGCTTAATCAGATCAGAACTGAGCATATTCCGATGGAATTTAGATTTTTATCGAAATGAAATAATCGATATCTTTACCGACAAAAAACAATCAATACAATAGACGAGAGTTAAATCCAAATCTGACGCCCCTGTGCTTTATCACTTTAAAAAGGCTATTATGGCAATGAAAGAAAACTGTATTGATCTTTCAAACAAAAAAACTTGTTTAGCATATCTTTGTTTTGCATTATCACGTTTAAGCCACCAATTCGCATATTAGCATATTTACACTGGGTGCTCAGTGAGTATGACACTGGCTCACTAACTATGGAAGACCAAACAACTCTTTATTCAATCTATGACACTGGCTCACTAACTATGGAAAGCCAAACAACTGTTTATTCAGTGTTCTTACTTGAAATTGATTGAGGACTAAGAAAATTGAATAAAGAGCTGTTTGGTCTTTTCAAACCTAAGTAGGTGGCCCCCGTGGCCAGGGAGGTTCCTTTGGGATTGTCCAACCGGGTTTCCCTTGAGGCGAGGAAATTCGAGAAAGCCCGAGCGAGATGAAATTGAGCATGCTATGTCTTTGGAAAAGTGCGCATAGATAGAAGAAGTTTGATTGTTGATATAACGTTACATTTTCAAGGTGGTGGCGATAACGTCATTTCCGTTAACTGGTCCATTACAGTACTATCTTGCTTGCTTGTAGCAACTTCCCTTACCTTAAATACAATGTCACATTGTTCTCGTATTTCATTCAGCGTTATGATCTGATCTATTTTGGTCCATAGTTGTTTCAAGTCAAAAAAAAATTCAGCCTTATTATTGTATTTTAAGTTTTATTGTGTGAATAAACCATTTGATAAAAAAAAATCGATCATGAACTTATTGAATGTAAGCTGTACTTCCGGTGAAGCGGTAAAACGACACAGGCGGGTAGATAAAGAGGCGGTATATATACTTATACTATCATAATTATCGATAAATCGATATATTGTAACATTGTAGACCATTGATCGTCATTTGCAAGAATAGACATATTTTTGTTAAATTTTAACATTATTGTTTAAAAATTGATAAAAACAGAACTGCAAATATATAAGTTATTATGGCTTCTATTGTCACGTGTTGGCAAATGTTACAAATAAGGCTTGTTTTTTGGATAGATTATTCATTTATTTCAGAATATTGAGGATTTGATATAGAATTTATAACCTAAATATAACCTTTCTGCGAAAAATCTTTTGTATGGAGTGTATATTTATTGTCCGGTTGGGTTCTATGAAAACTAGATCTTGAGAGTGTGCTATGGTTTATTTACGGCATAACTTTACAACATAGGATTGAGTAGCGCTAACAACGCGCGTTTGTAGTAACGAACCGGCATGACCATGACTACACAACCTTGACATTGGTTTACCTTATATTATAGATTGACTTTCCAATAAACGGTAAACGAAATATAGATATGTTTACATCTCCCCCTTAAAGCATAATAAACTATTTTAATATTGATACAGTAACAGAAATTAAATCATGGAACATTATGCCTAAATGTTAATACAATTGAATACATGTAGACCCATTTAACAACATATATGCATATTAAAGATCAAGTTTGTCAGTATGCTTAATAATTCGACCACTTCTACTTGTATTAATACTAATATCTGGAACAGGTTTTAAGAATGATCTATTGCGTCTAAATTTGTTTCCTTTTTCATTGCTCACAATAAAAGATCTTGGCGTACTAGCCTTTTCTTCTATTACACCAGGATTCCAAGATTTACAATTTTGATCATATATGACAACTTTTTGATTTACATCTAGATTACTATTATTAACATTATGCTTCTTGTCATATTGAAACTTTTGCTTATCTTGTCTAGATTGTAAACAAACTAAATAGTTTTCATTGGTCTGAGTTCTTTGGAGTTTACCAAAAGAAGGAATTTGAGTTCTATAATTTCTATTATTTAAAAGAACACATGGAGCAGGAAGTGTATTGTCAATCGGGGTGGTTCTGTAGGTTAATAGAGCTATATAGGGATCTTGATTTGCAAATTCAGATTTCTTAAGAAGATTCTTAACAGTTTGCATCATTCTTTCTATAAAACCATTGCTCTGTGCATATAAAGGAGAACTTGTTATGTGCTCTATCCCCCACTCAGGACAAAATTGACTAAATTCAGAACTATTATATTGGGGTCCATTGTCAGACATAATGGTTTGGGGAATGCCATATTCACCAAATATAGACTTAAGATGATTAATTACAAATAATGAAGTAGTACAATCTAATTTACGAACAATAGGAAACTTACTAAAATAATCTGCAACTAACAAATAGTGAATTCTATTATACTCAAATAAGTCGGTGCCTAGCTTTTGCCAGGGGTAACTAGGAACACTATGAGGCAGTAAAGATTCCTTAGGTTGTTGTTTACTAAACTGTAAACAAGTAGAACAATTACTTGTAAGATCTTTTATATCATTTGAAATACCGGACCAAAATAAACATTCTTTGGCCTTTAACAAACATTTTCCAGTACCCAAATGTCCTTGATGTATAATATCTAACATTTGATTACGCAACTTATGAGGAACTACTATACGATGACCTTTAAAATTACACCATTCTCAACAGACAAGTCCTCACGGTATGTCCAGAATTGTTTAAGTTCAGAAGGACATACCGATATGAATTTTGGCCACCCTTTAAATATAGTTTCTTTGAGTAAACATAGGACAGGGTCTTCACTTATACACTGTCTAATTTCTTCGAGTTTAGCAGGACTTGCTGGTACATCTTTGGTAACTGTATCAATGTTAATAGTTTGAACATCATCACTTTCATTAGGTTCCGACATCGCGCTAACGCGAGATAAAGCATCTGCAATGACATTGTCTTTGCCCTTAATGTAACAAACTGTAACCTCGTACCTAGCCATTTGTAACAGCATTCGTTGTAGTCTAGGAGAAGCACTTGAAATGGATTTTTTCCATATACTTTCTAGAGGCTTATAATCTGTGTCGATTTGAACCTTTTTACCATAAACATAATGATGGAACTTTTTTAATGACCATGAAACAGCAAGAAGTTCTCTCTCTATGTTACTGTAGCGCGATTCTGCGTCTGTTAAAGATCGACTTCCATAGCAAACAGGTTGACCATCTTGTAATAAAACGCAACCTAATCCCTTTAGGCTAGCATCCGCTTGAATAACATTAGATTTATCAGGGTTGTAAAACGTTAAAACAGGAACACTCGTTATGATTTGTTTCAGTTCATCAAACGATTTGGAATGTTCTTGTTGCCACTGAAAGGGAACATTATTTTTAAGTAAGTTTCTTAACGGTTCTGAAACTTGAGCTAATACAGGAGAAAACCTGTGTAAATAGTTGATTAATCCTAGAAACGACTGCAACTCAGTTAGGTTATTTAGTGGTTTCATATCTAAAATGGAATTAACTTTCTTTTCGTCCACTTTAAGACCACTTGGAGTCCATTTGTGTCCAAAAAATGACGCTTCTTGAACTTTAAATTGAAATTTACTTGGATTGAACTTGATATTGTTTTCACGAGCTGTATCTAAAACATTAATAATATTTCTGTCGTGATTTAGTTCATTTGAACCGTAAACAAAAGTATCATCCGCGATACCAGTTAAACCTGGTAATTTACCAAAAACAAAATCCATTTTCTCTTGAAAAATGTCACCACTCACACTTAAACCGAAAGGTAGTCTAGTCCAACGGTATTTTCCCCATGGGGTATTAAATGTACAAAGTCTACTACTTGACTCGTCTAATTTAACTTGCCAGAAACCATTACTTGCATCTAAGATGCTGAAATATTTAGCACCAGAAAGTCGAGGTATAACATCTTTTAACGTTCTAACATAATATGGATTACGTAACAAAGCAACATTTAAATCACGAGGGTCTAAACACATTCTTATGTTATGACTATTTAGTTTAGGGGTAATCAAACTGTTGAGTTAATCCATTCAGTGTATTCATCATTAACTTTACAAACAATACCAAGTTCCTCTAAACGATTCAATTCTTCTTGATACATTTGTTGCATATGTACAGGAACTTGTCGCGGGGCATGTTGTACAGGAGGTATACTATTATCAATATTTAAATGATAAGGCTCTCCAGGAAAACTACCAATACCAGTAAAAACATCTTGGTATTCTTTCAAAAGATACTCTTTTGTAACAGGAAGTGGATGCTTGATACCATTTACATCAGGGCAAAATTGATGCTGTAACTTCCCAATTAAGCTTTATAAGATCTAAATCCTGGGCTAAGACATTACCAATAATGACTGGACTCTTGATATCAACAACTTCAAAACATGCTAACTTCGAACTTCCATTGAGAGATTCAACTAAGACTTCACAAACGCCTTTACTGTAAATTTCTGTTCCACCGAAAGCTAAGAGTTTATGCATAGAACACTGTAACTTGAAGTCTTCTATGAACAATTTACTAAATATACTATAAGGTAGTATATTAGTTTCGGCACCAGAGTCAACTTTTGATAAATATTTAACATTATATTTATCATTCTGCGAGTTAGTAAACTTAACTTCAAGAAGTGCCTTTTCCTTACATGATAGAATATTAACACTATTTTGTGGCTCTTCGTTAACTGGTAATCTTGATTAGATATTCCATTACCACCATCATTAATTTCTGTATAATTGATCTGATTAATCTGCTTATTTTTAGTACTCCAACAATAAT